ATAACAACATTCTTTCTAGAAAGCCAAGGTCATCCTTTGTGTCTGCACTTCTGCACCTGACTGGAACTGGATGGGTGGAAGCCAGCATGGCAGTGGGAGATGGGACCATGGGATGGACTTGTGGGTGTAGGGGCAAGGTCTTGAAATTCCAACTGGGTGGGGAAAACCGGGAAGCTTTGAGAATCCGGTTGTCCCAGATGTGCCAACATGGCTCTCTTCATAAATTGGAACTTTGAGGAATCCTTTGCCTTGGACTCTGATTTAATTTTGGATGCTATTTGGAACCCTGACATAGCCAACGCCATCCTCCCGATTTCCTTGGCCTGCTGGGGCATGGTTGAGGACTCTGAGAGTTGAAGCCATCTGGAGCAGCGGTTCTCAATTTCGACAACTTGAAGACGGGTGGACTTCAACTCCCAGAGTTCCCCAGGCAGCAGCAGAGAATTCTGGGAGTTGACGTTTACCCTCCTTAAAGGGGGTGAGATGGAGAAGCAGTGATCTAGCCCCACTTACATCCTGCTGGTGCTTCTCTTCATCTAGGTTGACCATGCTCCACCCAATGTTCTCCTCACCATCCGAGTCGGAGCCGCCGGTGGCTGACCTCTCGTCGTCACGTTCAAAGTCCTGGGGGGGGGAGGGGAGATGTGAGGAAGGGCTGTTCTGTGGAACCCGGCTGGCCACGCAAGAAAACCACTGTTTTGAACCAGCTACAGCTTCCAGATCCTTTCCCAGGGCAGCCCCATGTGCAGCTCATGGCAGTAGTCAAGACGGGAGGTGACTACAGTGTGGGTGATTGTGATTAATGCCTCTCAAAAATTTGTCCCTCTACCCTGCTTTCTAAAGTAGTCTCCCCGCCCCAGACGGTTTTACCAGAAGTTCTTCCTGCTCCTCCCGGTTCCCGGCCAGCCCGTAGGTGGGGATCTCCCCCAGCGTGCGGCAGAATTCGGAGGTGGCGTTGAAGACAATGGCCCCCTTCTTCTCGAGCTCAGCATCGTCCTCCTGGGTCCGGCTGCGCCCCAGGGTCCGCACGATTTCGACCACCTGGAAAGGACAGTGAGAGGTGAGAGAGGTCAGCCTTAGGGCATCAACAAGGTTGGACGTGTGTCCGAGGAGCTGGCAGAGAGAGAGAGAGGGAGGGAGAGAAGGAGGGAGAGAGGGAGGGAGGCTGGGCCATCTGTCAGCCCTCGGATGGAGAGTCTACAGCCCCGAGGTCTGGAGGTGGGTGATGAGGAAGAGGAGGAACAGCTGAGTCTAGTGCCTGACGCGTGAATGCACAGAAGGCAGAGGAGAGGAGAACACTGGGAATCTATGGGCCGGTCCTTGGGATGGAAGAGCCAACACTGCTAGTGAAGCCCCATCCAAGCTCTGGGGACAAAAGGCTGGGGGCGGAGTTGAATAGATGTGACAGACAAATATTCATCTCCCAGCTTGTCAGCCACTTATAGTGTGCATTTCCGAATCGTGTCTGAAAATTATCAGGATTCTACTTGGAATCTGCAGCTCCTTCTAAGCGTGTGTGCGTATGTGTGTCTGCTGCTGGAAGAAAGCGGGCGCACCTTCCGGGACTTCCTTTGCAAGGGGCAGGGGAGTGAGAGAGAGAAAAAGAGAGACTGCGTGGAATGTCAACACAGAAAGTTGATCCAAGGCAACAGGTGGGACAGTTTGAAATGTGGAGAGGGAGGCTGGGGACGGGTGGGAGGGGAGAGCCGCTCCGTTGTGCCCCACTTCACATGGCAAAGGCTCTGCGCGCCCCTCACCTTTTCACCGCTGTCCTTCAGCAGCTGGATCTGCCGCAGCTTCCGCCCCTTCTCCAGCTGTTTCTGCAGCTCCATCTCGGCCTCGTCTTCCTCCAGCACAGGGGGAGAGTGGGGGCCCTCCATGGCATCCTCTGCCCACATGGGGGGGGAAAAGACAGTTTGCCTTGAGGGCCCAGTCCAGGCTTGACCCGGGTTCCTCCTTGGCTTAAACACCAGCAATGCTCAACAATGGCTGCCAGAGAGATTAATCGTGGGGTCCCCGGTGCTCCCCGAGCTTGGATGTTGCCTTCCAGATGTTTCATTATCCAACCAGCGTATTTTTCGGAGTATCAGACACACCAAGGTTTTGAAGAGGTAAATAAAAAAAAGGTTTTTGCACTCCCTCAAAACCTTGGTGCGTCTAATACTCCGCAAAATACGGTAGTTGGATAATGAAAACCCTCTGCAGGTTTTTTTTTGTGAAAAATGGGCCATGCAGAGAGTTTGGGAGGCTTGCAAAGTGTCCCTTGGGGGCTGGGGGGAAACGAGCAAAAAAAAGGCCCGTTTATTGTTTGTTTTTGCCCTCCCCAGCCCCCAGGAGCATTTTGCAGGCCTCCCAAACCCTCTGCACATCCATTTTTGCAACAGGGCGGGGTTTTGGGAGGCCAAAAATGCTGTATTCAGTGTATAAGATGCACCCAGATTTTTACCCTCTTTTGAGGGGGTGAAAGGCGAGTCTTATACTCCGAAAAATACGGTAGGTAACACCATCAGAGTGAGTGAGTTTTGAGTTTGTCCATTTATATATAGTAGCTTGCCCCGCCAGTATTGGAGGTGGTTTTCTGCTTGGTGGTTCCTTGTTTAGGGTACTGTTTTCTACCTGTTTGTCTGGTGTTAATCCCTGCTTATCTAGGTGGGGATATTTCTGGTCTGATGATGTTACCTAATTGGAAATGTCTTCACAAAGACAAGCGACTCCGGGAGCACCAGCCAGAGGTTAACCCTGAGCGAGAGAGATTGTCTTCTACCAAAAATAGGAAACTGCTCAGTGCCTCCTTCCTTCTCACCCACATCAATCATCATCCGCAAGAGTGCTTAGACTTATATCCCGCTTCACAGTGCTTTTACAGTCCTCTCTAAGCGGTTTTACAGAGTCATCCTCTTGCCCCCAACAATCTGGGTCCTCCTTTTACCCAGCTCGGAAGGACAGAAGACTGAATCAATCTTGAGCGGGTCAGGATCAAACTCCTAGCTGTGGGAAGAGTTTGTTTGCAATTCTGTATTCTAACCACGGAGAGGGAGGGAGGGAGCGTGGGAAGGAAAAGGGGAAAGGGAAGGAAGGGAGGAAGGAAGGAAGGGCAATAGCAATAGCACTTAGACTTATATCCAGCTTCACAGTTCTTTTACAGACGTCTCTAAGTGGTTTACTGAGTCAGCTTCTTGCTCCCAACAATCTGGGTCCTCCTTTTACCCAGCTCAGAAGGATAGAAAACTGAATCGACCTTGAGGTGGTCAGGATCGAACTGCTGGCAGGTGGGAGAGTCAGCCTGCAATCCTGCATTCTAAGCCCTGAGCCACCGTGGCTCTTACAGTTGCAAGAAAAAGTATGTGAACTCCTTGGGATTACGTGGAGTTTTGCATGAATTGGGCATAAAATGTGCTCTGAACTTCATCTAAATCACAACAATAGACAAACACAGTCTGCTGAACATCATACGACGCAAACATTAGATGTTGCCATGGTTTAATTGAACAGAACATGTAAACCTTCNTTAAAATCTGGCTGTCCCGGCAGGCCTGGGGCTAAAGTCTTCAACCCCACTCGAATAGGATGACTGGTGCGCTTTTTTAATGATGTATTGTCTTCATGTTTGTAACTTGTTTGTCCTTCCCTCCCCCTGAATTGTGAGCCGCCCTGAGTCCCCTCTGGGAAAAGTAAAATAAAGTAAAATCTAAATATAAATCTAAAAGCCCAATTGGGCTTATTATCCAGGGAGGTCTTATTTTTGAGAGAACAGGGTGTTACAAAATGTGTGGCCAGCTGTGTTGAGTTTGGATTTTCTAGTTTAAACGCCGAGGGTTCCTTGATACTCATCGCCTCATTTGAAAACGGTGGAACTTCATAGAAGGTTCTATGGCCCTGGACATCCTACGCTAACGAATCACGATCTTGCAGGGCAAAAAGATTTCTCGCCGCCATTTGCACGCTGTAGCCTTTTTGGAGACGAACACATCAAAACCTTTGACGAACTGATCTATGATTTTGCTGGAGATTGTAGCTACCTGCTTGCTGGAGACTGTGAAAAGAGATCTTTCCTCTTACTGGGTGAGTTTTCAAGCCAAGTTTTTTAATTTCTTTTTTGTTACATTTTTTTAACTTCTTTTGTCAACCAAGGGTTGTCCTGGTTTTTTTCCCCTCCCTTCAGATCTTCTATTATGCTTATTACATTTATCGTCATATTTCCATTTCACATTTCAGTCATCTTATTTTTATTCCATATTCTCTCTTAATTTACGTTTTTCTTCATATATAAACAATTGCCCTTCAAAAGCTAATCAAATTTGAACTTTAAGATTTGAATATACGGTGGAATGTTTCTTGAACCTTGTCTGAAGTTTTGGGAAATTAGAAGAACGAGCAGTTCAGCTAAATATAAGGGAGCTTGCTTGGAGATGGGAGCTGTTTAACAAAATATAGAATGTAGAATAATAGGGTTGGAAGGGACCTTGGAGCTCTTCTAGTCCAAGCAGGACACCCTATATTATCTCAGACAAATGGCTGTCCAGTTTCTTCTTGAAATCCTCCAGTGTTGGGAGCATCCAGAGCTTCTGGAGGTAAGCTGTTCCATCAATTCATTGTTCTCAGGAAATTTCTCCTTAGTTCTAAGTTGGATTTCACCTTGATGTTCTTTCAATTGTTACTTCTTGTCTTGCCCTCAAGTGTTTTGGAGAATAGGGTGAACGCTTCTTCTTTTTGATAGTCCCTCAAGTACTGGAAGACTGTTATCAGTTCAACCTAGTCCTTCTCTTCGTTAGACTAGACATACCTCATTCCCTCAATGGTTCATTGTATGCTTTAGCCTCCAGACCCCTTATTAACATTGTTTAGAATAGAATAGAATAGAATAGAATAGAATAGAATAGAATAGAATAGAATAGGATAGGATAGGATAGGAATAGGAATAGGAATAGGAATAGGAGTAGGAGTAGGAGTAGGAATAGGAGTAGGAGTAGGAGTAGGAATAGGAATAGGAATAGGAATAGGAATAGGAATAGGAATAGGAATAGGAATAGGAATAGGAATAGG